TTTTGCAAGTTCGCTGTCTAAAGCAAATCACTGACTGACGTAAGGCGATTGCACGAGGGAAAGATAAATCGAGTAGATTTTTTTGTATGTTTCCTAGTTTATAATATTCTTTTTGTGTGTATAGGTCCCAGACCACGTAGGAATATTCCAAAAGGGGACAAATATAGGTTTTATATGCTAATTATTTTATTTCTTAAGTTGACTCTTACAACCATCTCCTAAATATCCTAGCTTTTTCGTGGCTTTCTTTTCTATAAAAGTGATACTTTATTTCCACTCGTGGTCTGAAGTGATTATTAAGCCTAAGTATTTATAATGATTTACAGAACTAAGACAGCGACCATTTATTGAATACTGGAATGTAAGTGGTGCCTTCTTTCTTGAAATTGACAGTGAAACAATTTTTGTAGTATTGATGCACATTTGTCATCTTTCACACCGAATATGTAGTTTGTCCAAGGCACTATTTATAATACCTGGTGATCAATTGTATTTACTTCCTGATAAAGGATGCAATCGTCCGCGAACAATTTTATTTTGTCAAGTATACCGTTTACGATATCATTTATAAAAACTAAAAAGAATAGTGGCCCGAGAACAGACCCTTGGGGAACGCCTGATCGCACAGGCGCCAGGCGTGAACATGAGCCGCTGACTGATGCGCATCGACTCGTGGACGATAAGCGAGACAAAAGTGAGTTATTTTGTAATATAGGTTTTAATTTTAACAACAGCTTATGGTGCTGCATTTAAAAAGAAGAAAGAAAGAGTGCTCAAGGTAACGACACACACATGACTTATTTTCTTTCCCTATGCCATCTCTCCCAGCTTTGCTTCAAGCGCTTTCGTCGGGACGAGAAGAAAGAACGCAATTGCAGCACGTGGAAAATCTTTGCGACACCGCTCATACTGAACAGATTATTAAAATTTCTGTGGTGGTTGATTTATAAGGCAAAAAGCTTCTGAATCCATTCCACGTCTACTTGAAGAACTGTTGCACGGTCCCTTTAAATGAACAAATTATCCTCAAATCGATTGATCATTTTTTAAGCTTAAAAACTTGTTTTGCAGGCTTATACACTCTAACTGTTGAATAATGTTACATATTTCACAGGTTATCACTTGCATCCTACTGAAAGTCAAATCCTGCTACTTCTTAAAGTTGTTTCCACTTGGTTTGAATGTAAAAAAATTAAATAAAGAAATTGCATAGAGGCCTTGTTTAAAAAAAAATATTGTACAGGTTAGTTAAGTCATAAGAAATATGCCATTTTTCGTCATATGTCATATATTCTATTCAAATTTGATTCTAAATTGTTCGACCAGAATCACTAATCACTTCGAATTCCCTTCGAACACAAAAGTCACTATTCGCTCAGGCCTACTAAGCGCAGTTGATAAGGATGGGATCACACGTGTGATGTCGAGTCGCGTGTGGCCAGAGGCCAGAAATGCAAAGGCCTACCCATCACCTGGACAACCGCCCTTTTCCCTCTGGCGAATTGCCATGGTCTTTCTTTTTTCTCCTTCCGTGCTTCAATTCATTCACTTTACATCTCCTCCTCCTTGTCGCTCACTCCCCACCCAGCGCACCTCCTTTCAGAAGCGCACTTGCTCATGCGTTTGTCATAAAGCTCTTCCGGCAACCATGTTATAACCAGTCTTTCATCATGGGATATTACACAATAAGCAACTTGCAAATATATGGGGTTTTATGGGAGGGTAATAAATGGGAGTCGATGAAAACCGCATTGTAACTAGTCTGCACTGTATTATAACTTGACAGGCATGCATAGAATAAACAGAGAAGTGCTTCATTCATGCCTCCTGCAATTAATGCAAAACATTAAAATGATTTACGATGATGATCTTTGATAAAAAAGGTGCAAGCACAGACAATGCAAAACCAGCTATTGCAATTGAGCATTCAAGTGCTTCTCAGCGTAAAAATTTTGAAAATTTGATTTCCCATTGCGACAGTTTCACCCAATAACCTCAATAATCTTTGTGGTACATACTCAAGTTTCATGCGATAGGTACACAGGTTCATTGCGGTGCGCTTTTAGTAGTGTTGTCATCACAATAGCGACTACGGTTCAATACCCCATTGCACCACACCATACATAATAAGCGGAGATTAATGGTGGCATGTAGCTCACGGCTTGGTTGAGATGCGTTGGGGTTGCACGTCTCATGACGTGATTGCGCACAGAACCCCCTTAGGTTACCAGACACGACTCAACCACACAAGGCATGATGAGATCAACCCTGTCAGCTCACTCCCAGGGCAGCACTACTGACTTGCCATGCTGAACAAAACTGCCATCCTCCAGGAGCACTAAGAGGAGTAATGCAAAGAGTTTTCGCTCCTAAAGTGCTGCTGGACATGAACCAACTGTGCAAACAATGATGCAATTTTGTAAATACAATATCAATAATAGTACTAACAATAATAATAATATTACTAATTGACAAGGTTTAACATTCCAAAACTATGATATGGTAATGATATCAAGGTCTCCCTAATTGGAGCATATTTTCGGAGCAGCAAAATTTTCGACACAGAGCACTTTGGAGGAGCAAAATTTTCCATTTGGAGCACTTTGGAGGCACAATTTTTTTTCATTTTGGAGCAATTTGGAGCAGCTAACATAAAATCCTGAAGAAGAAGCGAGTTGTATTTACATTCAAGGACATAAGAAATTATTCTGAGGCTTTCTGTGAAGGGTTAAAATAACTTAGATTCATTGCTAATTTTGTGGAGCCAATCAACTTAAAATCACTCCCTATTTCAGTTGATGACGAAAAAATAATGGCGTCATGCTGTTGAGCATTCTGAAAAAACTTGTTCAGTCATTATTTCTGTAGCAAATAAACAGAATACTCGTTGAATAAAATTGTACTTCATGAAATAACAATATAAATACACCTTTTTGGTTATCAGCAGATATGGCCAACAAACGCTGTGACGTACAACATTAAAGACTCACACAGTCCTAAGTGCATTTCTCTAAGATGACTTCAAGAATTAAAAAACGGTTGTTTCTTTTCAAGACTGATTAGACTGCTTGGCGTAATATGACGTCATTCAGCTAGTCTCAGAATGCCAACCTCCCCCGGCACTCACCTCTGTGCTGAAACTACACATTTAAGCAAACTTCATTTCCCTTTTGAAACAATATTTTATGTGACTCGGGCAGTCTGCTTATACTCCAAAAGCCCCCTACTGTGTCCTCTAAAAAGCAGTGCATAAAAAAAATCCCAGAGAGTACCTTATGCGTATGCCTAAGACAACTCGAAGCCAAGATCTATTTTGTTTTCAATGGGATAGCAATTATATGGGCATTTTCGACTGGCTTTTGCCATTGCCAGGGGTATTGCAAGCAAATCATTTTTTTTTTGGCGGGAAGGAGAGTGGGGTTCCAACTTTATGTAAAGGGGGCGTGGGCAGGCAACAGGTCATTTTGTGCTTTATATGCCATAGCGAATGAAAATTTCAAAGGTGGGAGGAGGGAGTACGTTTCCGATGACCCCAGCTGGAGCGACCGGCTGGGCACTCTAGACAAATCTGATTTCATCTGTACATGCATCGGCGTGAAAGAGATGTTTCAGGAGTCTCAAGTCACCCAAGTCGCAGATATTGAACACTGCGCGTGCAGCAAGTTTTTGCGAGTGTGCGGACCTTGGAAATTGCAACCCTCCTGCTAACGCTTCTCACGAATGACATCATGCCTTATTATTTGGCATAACAATACAATTTATTGGTATTGCATTCATTACTAAAAGCGTAAGTGAAACTAACAAATCGTATCATTTAGATCTGATATTGCATAACTCAAAGAAGGTATTAAAACTGAATTGCGGCTGCACTCGACCAAGAGGCATGCTTTTATAAATGAGATGACATTTATAAAGAAAGCAAAGGATAATTTTCAGTTCCAACCCCGGGGATCTAGAATTTGAAAAGGGAGGGTCTTTTTTAGGGACTTTTGCTGCCACAGAGGTTATAAACGCAGATGTTCTGGTGGCAGGAATTACTAAACAGCTCTTCTGTATGATGATCCATGAATAAAGTATATTAGAGGAAAAGTGTCAATGCGTTCCCACTATTTACGTGTTCTTCTGCAGACGGAAAACACAAAAAATTATATTGCGATGTCCAGACATAGACGTGACAGACATTCTGGTGGCACGCGTGCATTTATTAGTGAAAATTGCTTTATCACATGCCACGCAACTCTTCGAACAAGCTATCAGCAGCGTTCCTAGAACGGATGACATCCGCCGATGAATCGCCACCACAATTTCACGCTACCGATTGTACTAGACGTCGCGAGCCTCTGCGGAGAGCGCGTTTCGCCATTAAGCAGACTTGCACAACAGAGTTGCATCGGCACCAAACATAGCATTGTGGATTTCAGGACGCACGCGGGACCACTTTTATTCGACATAATAAAACAGGTAGGCAATTGTGACTTAAAGAACCCGAGAACAAGGTGAGCATGTATTGACGCGCCTGCGGGACTATTGCCTGTCATGCCGACGCTCCCAAATCCGACTTTGGCACAGTTTGGTGCGATTCCCGTTGATATCAGGATAGCACAGTAAATATGATTTGCCACACTTTGGCACAGGAGTGGGATCACTGTATGATGTGATCATGAGAGATGCCTTATTGGAGGGACTCTGGAAATTTTGACCTCCTAGCGTTGTTAAACGTGTGCCTAAATTGAAGTACACGGGCCTCGAGCAGATGCTTAGAAAGTTTTAGGCTATGTTTTGTGAAAAATGCTTAATCTTTGTTGCAAAGCACTGCATGACATTTTTGTTTATTCTGAAGCAAAAAGCTCTTACATCTAATTGTTTTTTAATGATAGACCATAATGGTCTCCATTCTTTGCATGAACATAACACAGAGGTTAAAGTGAGAACACCTTGTCATCTCAGTACAGGAACTGTAACCAGCTTGAATGGCAATGCAGCAATCATATTGGCCCTACCTGTCCCCACGAAGATCATCATAGAGCTGGGTTGAAATCACTGTTGGTTGACACTGCACCGTTTCCATATCGTGGGCCACAGGTGGGAGTTCATCCTGCAGGTCATTCAGACACTGAGCATGCTTGCACTCCACCAACACAGAGGACACAAACATCGTTCTACTACACAGCACTCCTACAAATCCGGGACCTACACCGAGCACATGCAGCCCTAATGTCATTTTCAAAAGCGCAGTGTAGCCAGTGAAAGACAAAAGCAGCTAAAAACGTATAGGCTACTTGAGCAAAAATATTTCAATTCCCTCCTTTTAAACTGCGACGAACCAGGTGAAATTCGTATCTTGGACACATAGGCAGCAAACAGCAATATCAAGGTTTTCCACACCCAGTTCAAAAACAGAACATAAAATAAGGGCAAGTTTTAGCACATCCATGGCTTGTCACAAGCTGCATCAAGCTTGGAAAAGCAAGGACTGACATGTCATCAAGTAGGGACAACATCAATGGATCTGGTAGCACCAGCTTTGCATGCCCCTTCACGACATTTGAAGAAGGAGCCGTTCAAGAGAACCAGTGTCTCATTACTGGACAATATTTAAAAAATAGTAAAGAAGCATTAATTTGTACGCTTCAACTCAAAACTTGTCAGAGCTAGCAAATACAGCTTTGGTGAAAATATTCGGTTGTTTTTTCCATTGCTTTTTGAAATGCCCAGGGGATTCTTTGAAGAAAGAAGAGAGAAAATACAAAGTATTTTAAATAAAAATTAATAAACTTGACTTTTCATGTGTACTGTACACAACAGCAGATCAAGCTTTCATAGGTGCAGATCTTTGCAGATTAATATGGGCCAATTGGAAGATTCTATAAATAGCAGTGTTGGTAACAATCAATTTGTTGCAACGGCTTGTGAGCGATCATTCTTGTCTCCATTATTCGTGGAAGACAGTACGTGCCCTACTGCCGCATAGGTTGACCCTCGTGGTTGTGTAGCATAGTGGCATTTTCTATTACTACCCCACGTGGCAACTCAAGTGCACTTATCCTCTCAAAGTATGTTGCTACGCGAGCTTTGCAAGTGATGGCAGTGGTAATTGGCGGAGCACAACATGTATTTATTATCTTGTTGCACCACATTGTCGTCATAAAAGTAGCAACAGTGGCCCACATCATCGCAAATGACTAAAGAACACTCACTTACACACGTGCAAGGAAGTAAACAATGCAATGCACAGGGCCATTGCACGGCATGTGCTCCCGAATCCCCCTAGCAAACATGGGCCCCAACTGCCTGAGGGCGAGAGTAGCGAGGCTTCTTGTTGTGTTATGGCTTGTCAGTAGTCTTAATAAAGAAAAAAAACATTTAAAAATACTGTGAGCACCGTTTCACGCAGCAAAATATTTATGTGTGAGCCATGGCTACCAAAGCTACACACTCCGTCCCAGCTATGCGAGGTTGGCGAATGCAATTGCCGAAAAGTGTACCTTGCAGCGAGTGACAGTAAACTTTCTCATGTGACATTGTGCAAATGACACTCACAACAAAGTGCACTTGCTTGACGTTCACCTCTGTCACACTGAAGGAGTTGATGTCTTAGGATTCAAATGCCATTCGGTGCAACGAATGTCCTTCAATATGCGGTGGTGCTACAAAGGAAAAAAAATGCTATATGTTCGTGATGTCAATGCCGATAAATAAAAAAAAATGGCCGGAAAAGTTGAAGGTAAATGTAGGCTGGTAGAAAAGAAGTTTTCATTTTGAAAGACGTGCAAAAAGTCGCTTTGCTAAATAAATGCGCTTAGATATTTTATATTGCAAAGTATATGACCACTATGAACCAATACAAATGCTTAGCCAGTAGCTTTAGCCGATGAAATGAACACAGGCAACATGGCTGACAAACCGCAGAACAGTGACGCTAAGTTGCAGCAAGTCATGCATTTGGTTGCTTCATTCTTGGTGTTGCGAGAATTGTGCACAAGCCACAAAAGGAGACTTGATTGGGGAGAGTAAAAACATTTTGCGACCGAGTTATGTACACCTGTCCCACCTATCCTCGCTAAATTGAGAGATGACTTAAAGAAGCAACATTAAATGAATGCCTCCTTCTAAGTATTCTTTGGGCTGGAGGGTATGCATTTGGTTTGACTGCTAAGCGAAAGTGTTTTTTCAACTCATTCGATTCTAATGACATTATTTATTGCTGTGTAGTAGCAATGTATAATGTCATTTCATTCAAATAAGATTCGAATGCCATTTCATTTGAATAACATTTATTGTCATTCAATTCGAATACCAGTAGAGCGTCCAGTGTGACAAGAGTATAACACATCATCACATTGGCAGCATCGCTGGCTGCAGTGCCCCATTTCACCAGGAAAAATAAAGAGCAAGAAAACAAAAAGATAAACTTACTGCCGCTGGCAAATGTACAAAAGAAGCCCCCCTCTGGGGAAGCATACCTGAATTCTCGGCATGTGTTTTGCATGAACAGTAACAAGCGGTGAATTTACTTTTATTTGCCAATAGCCGGAGGCTGCAATGCTGGCTCTCATTCCATTCGTTAATGCACCCAAAATGAAAAGTTGCTGAATGTTTGAGTCAGCAAGACTGCTGGACATTTTGATCGCACAATAAGAAGAGCACAGATGAAGGTAAAACGCAACCTACGTTGTCCTTTTGTGTGGTCAAGATGTTAAACAGTAAGCACCAAATAGGCCAAAGCAAAGTTCTACTGAAGCATTATGATTGCATCCCGAGCCTGTTTGTTGTTGCTAGGTATTCAACCTTTAGTTGACAAATTCTGCCCCAACATGACAGCATGAGCAAAAGCACACAGTGTCACAATGTAGTCGGCCATCTTTTGTTGCCTTTGCAGCTGCTGCAGATGAAATGGCTGAACATGTGCGTCTCTTTTTCAGTCACATGAACACCTCAGCAGTAGTGTATTTAGTAAGAGCAGCCAGAAGACGACGAAGAGCATGCGGCAGTGACTGACGTCCCTGAAACCAGACTTGGTTTTTTTCAATAAACCACCTTATAATTCCACTTAAATTTTGTGGAGGTGCTGGGTAGTCTTTGAAGCTGCAACTATAAATGTTGCCCCTTACCTCCAGTGCCAGCAATGCCGGGAGAACCCTACACCCAAGGTACCTCCCAGGCTCCTGTCGAATCATGTCCCAGCGTATGGCCACTGCATCACCCACCGACCTTCAACGGCACTGACGGCCAGGACGTTGAGGAGTAGCTCGTTATTGACCACAAGGTGAGAACAGCAAACAAGGAGGATGATTAAACTAAGCCAACCTATGTAAGTATTTACTTGTCCGGCATCGCTAGTCTCTGGTCGCAGAATCACGAAGCTGATATTGCCCGCTGGAATTTGTTGAAGACGGCCTTTTCGCAAGTATTCGACTGCCCTGCTGTATGAAAACTCCGTACAGAACGACTTTGTGAGTGCGCTCAACAGCCAGAAGGAACTTTCTCCAGCTACAATGAAGACGTTGTTGACATGGGCAAGCACGTAAAACCCCTCAATGTTCGAAGCAAACAAGATGACGCATTTCAAATGTTGTTAGCCAATATTCTCTCGAATAGTCTCTTGAATGCGCTCTGTCACACAGACACCTCAGCAAACATCAAGCCACTCCCAGTGTACCAAGATGCTTACCAAGATCCTTATCAAATTCGGCAACTCTATACCAAATGTTACTGCAAAACACAGAGCAGAAACACTTAGCAGTATCCGTGTCAACCAGATCACACACCACTCCCATGGAGCAATCACCGTGCTAGAGAAAGAAATTGCCATTTCTGTTGCCAAGGTAACCACATATTGTAAACTTTTGCGCATTACTATGAAGGAAATTCAAAGAAGAAAGAAAGGAACAGAAGAACACTTGTTCAAATTTCTTTCATAGAAGTGTTGTCCTGTTCTTTTCTTTCTTCTTTGAATTTCTTTCATTGTAGTGCACAAAATTTTACACTATGTACAACCAGCTGGCCCCTTCCCTTGCTCTTCTGACCACGTATTGCACTAATTGGCAGTCTAGCCGCTTTGCTGCCTTTTTCACCATCTCCTGTGTTTGTCCAATTTTGGCTAGATATATTTCCTTGGTGTTGGCCCTATTAGGCTGTGTGCCAATGCAACTCGGGCTAACTGCATTTTTAAATTCTTTTTTTTATAGTTACGAATTTTGTTATGGCGGCAATAAACGACATGAGTTTCAGTGCCATCTCAATGAAAAAATCTGTAATTAGAAGTTGTGTGCTTGAGCAGACGTTTCAACAAGCGGACTTGTCTTCTTCCAAGGCTAGAACAGAACTGATTTCTTTAGTGTGTCTACGGTTCGTAGCTTCTCCTTCATCCTAACAAAGGAGGGGGAGAGGGCAACTGTCTATCCTTGGGAGTAGATCACTGCGCGGGTACCAAAATTGTCGGCGCGTCAACGGCACAGGGTCTATAAGATCGATGGCGGCGCGGCGCGGGGGTGGAATCATGATTCAGGAGTCGATGAGGATAGAAGCTGGTCCCTCTATTCACAAAATGGAGAAGATGTTAACAAAATAGCAGCATGTCATAATGTTATTTATTTACAAACATTGCTGTCTCAGTTTTTTAGACAGAGCAGGCATAAATACAGATGTTCAGCACTTTGAAAAAATACAATTCAACAAAATACATGTTTACGCAAGTATTTTTCCGATTTCTTAGCACCGAGTCTGCAAAGATACCAATCAAGCTCATTATAAAAATGCATGTTCTACAGAAAATCAAAAAACAAACAAAAAGGAAATGAAAACAATTCCGTATTGATCTAACGGGCCCAATATTTGAAGGTTCGAATCACCGTGTATAGCGTGCAGAAGATGCGACGAAGGATATGGGTGCTAGAACACTCGAACCAGCGTGAACCATCAGATTCATGAGAATGACAGGATAGCACCTGCGCCGATGCTCGATAGGGGCCTGCAGTTCATTGCATGCGAATCATGTGCATGAGAAGAAGGCGAGAAACGCTGGTCATAGGGACGAAATACAGGCAGAATTGCTTTTAAATGCGGAGCATTTGTTTGCGTACTGCAAGCACTTCT